TCTTGTATATATGTTAAAATGTTTTTTTTCTCCCAAGCGAACTTCACAACTGATGATGCAAACCTACATACAACACAAAAGGGCGAGAGACAGAAAACAAAACACCTTATCCCGCACCGACAAACCACAAACCACCACAACAATAGGTACAACGAAACGACAAAGAAATCACCGAACAACCATGAGTGATACACTGCCAAAAGTGCAGGGGGAGGAGGGGAGACGGGGATGTAAAAAACCTTCCTCCTCTCTCCTTCACCACAACCCACACTACACGCACCCCACTCCAAAGGCACCACACATACTCGTCCAACACCACCTGGCAATCCTAAAGTAAGACCAGGGCATACCGACACCTCCTCCTCCCCTTCATTAGGCACCTATACCCCATACTCCTTACCCCTACCCTACCCAGCACAAACCCTCCCTCTCGAACCACCCACCCTAAGGGGCGAGAGACCCCGGGTCCTCCACATACTGAACCACAAACCAGGCCCACACCTGTAGTCAGCATGAAAACAATGAAATGTATCTCACTCAACTGCAAGGGCCTAAACAACCCGGCTAAACGCCACCAGCTGATGCGGTGGGCCGGAGCTGATATAATAATCTTCCAGGAAACGCACTTTGAGACCTCAAGGCCATTCCCACTTAAAAACAGACACTACAAAGAATGTCACTTAGCAAACTCCCCGACTGGAAAACATAACGGGGTAGCGATACTCATCCGGAACACATGCCCCATTAGCTTCACAAACACCATAGCCGACCCCCAGGGCAGATTCCTTACTATAGCAGGACAGCAGGGCACTCACAAATACGCGATTACCACAATATACGCCCCCAACAACCCAGTCCCACCCTTCTGGACAGCCATCCAGGCACACCTCAAGCTGTTCCCCTCCCACCACATGATCACAGGAGGAGACTTTAATGCGGTTATCAACCCCCAAACAGACCGACAACGCCAAACCACACACACTGGCAAAACAACTCCAATGACCAGAACGGACAAACTACTCTCGAACTTTGTACTCCAATCAGGTCTCCATGACATCTGGAGAATGCAAAACCCCACAACCCTTGACTTCACTTTTTACTTACATTCTCATCTCTCCTACTCCAGGATTTATATGTTCCTGATATCCCCTTCCCTCCTAACCCAAAACATCACAACATCTATAGGTACGATCACGTGGTCCGACCACGCAGAGATATCCCTTACACTCTCAATCCCACAAACAGCTAGAACATGGTCATGGCGATTAAACCCAACACTCCTGCATATCCCTGAAATAAGGGCATCCATCCAAACGACGCTCACAGAATACTTCTACTTAAACATAGATTCAGTAGAATCCGTAGGCATATTATTGGCAGCACACAAAGCGGTCAAGAGGTAAACTGATTGCAGAAGCCACAAAACACAAAAAACAAAAACTAGAGGAACTGAAAGACCACCTCCTCTCTCTCAGGGCCCTAGAGAGCCAACATAAACAACACCCCACCAATTCTAGCACAGATCAAAACTCACCAACAAGCCATCAAATCCTATATGGCTAAAGACTCACAAAGAGCCCTCCAATGGAGCAAACAGCTCTTTTACGAGAAATCAAACAAGGCAGATACCCTCTTAACCCGCAAACTACGCCCAAAAACATATAATAAGCGCATTAGCAAAATAAACTCTCCAAGGATTTTCTCCCAATATTTCACAACACTTTATAACCACAATCCTGACCCATCGCAAACCCTAAAACAAGATATCGAAATATACCTCCGAAACAATACCCCCATCGCTAACAAGCACGGCAATAGAAATGTTATCGGCCCCTATCACGACAGAGGAAATAGCAAACACACTAAAAACAATTAAACCCAACAAAAGCCCAGGACCAGATGGATTCACAGGCCTCTACTATAAGACATATGCAAACACATTAATACCACATCTCATAGCACTAAGGAACTCACTACTCCAAGGAAACCCACTCCTAAAGGAAATGCTCAGGACAAACATCTGCCTCATTCCAAAACCGGACAAAACACATCTAGACCCAGGCCACTTTAGACCCATCTCTCTACTCAACGTAGACACTAAAATTTTTACTAAAACCCTTGCCAACCAGATCCAACCACTCCTACCGAAACTAATACATCCTGACCAGGTGGGTTTCATCCCTACGAGACAGGCAGCAGACAACAGGAGACGAGCACTCGACCTGATATGGGTGGCAAACAGGAGACAGACCCCAACACTCCTCCTGTCAATGGATGCCGAAAAAGCATTCGACTGACTACTCTGGCCATTCCTGTTTGCCACCCTCCAGAAATTAAAATTCCCGCCACCCATCCTCGAAGCCCTAAGGGCCCTCTACGACCAACCCACACTCCTCAACCTCAACGGCCACACTCCTCATCCTCAACACCAAACACCCAGAATTCACAATCAAAAACGGGACGAGATAAGGCTGCCCACTCTCCCCACTCTTATTTGCCCTCTTGCTCGAACCTCTCCTTCAAAACATATGAAATGAACAGGCGATACAGGGCATTAAAATCAGGTCTGAAGAGTACAAAATAGCGACATACGCCAACAATATCCTCCTCACAATCTCGGACTCCACTCAATCCTTACCACCCTTACTAACCCTCCTGCAACAATACGCAACTCTCTGGGTATAAACTCAACCTGGAGAAAACCAAGGCCCTCCCAACAGCAATACCACAACACACTAAACAACTAAAAACAGCCCACCCATTTAGATACAACTCGAACAATATACACTACCTAGGAACATATCTTCCTGCAGATCTGAACACAACATATGCTCTGAATTACACACCATTACTCCGCCAAGCGCAGCTGGACCTGCAAAAATGGGGACCCATGTCCATCATGGCTAGGGCGCATAACCTCAATAAAAATGAATCTCCTCCCCCGATTTCTCTATCTCTTTCAAGCGCTACCAATACCCATTTCCAAACACGACTTTAAAACGCTCCAAATACACATAGACAGATTCATATGGTCAAACAGGAGACCACGTATTAAAAGATCCACAATGTACAAAACCACAAAAACAGGAGGCCTGGGTCTCCCGAACTTCTACCACTATTACCAAGCGGCCCAAATACAATACCTATACGCACCACTGGGACTCAAACTCTGGGTAGACCTGGAGCACGACCTCCTGGGATGAGACCACCCATCACTACTTTTTTGGCTACCTAAGAAAGACAGACCACGCACCCCACAGATTACCCCTACATTAACAACATCTTTCCTCATCTGGGACGATATCACATCAACACACCCCATAACGAACACACCATTGCCCTTCACACCTATTCTGAGAAACAAGCACTTTCCCCCAGGCCTAACACCCAAAGACTTCTCAAGGTTTGAAGATAACGGACTATTCTGATTCCTCCACTTTTTCCAAGGCCAACAACTTCGCCCATTCCAAGACCTCCCCAAACACATTCGACCACTTTCGCTACATAAAGATTTGCAGCTTTCTCAACAAACCACACAATAGAGCAGCCGCCACTAATAGACCAACTCAATTCAAAAAAACATGCCTCCATGCACCCATACAGAAAAGCAAATCTTAACCATATACCTACTCTTAAACTCCAACTCCCCAGAGGATGCTCTCTTTTATACTAAGGCATGGGAAAGAGACATAGGCCCCCCCGCAGACCCCTCAGACTGGGCGGACATATGGGAAGCCACGGCTTCGCTCACCATATGTGTAAACCATAAAGAACAGGCTTACAAAACCTTGCTCAGATGGTACCTCACGCCTCTTAGACTAAAACAAATGGGCTGTGCCACCACGGACACATGCTGGAAAGGCTGCGAACAGAAGGGCACCTACATCCACCTCTGGTGGGCGTGCCCCCAGGTCTCACAAATATGGGAAGGAGTGGTCACGCTTGCATCCAATATACTAGAAATAGACATACCCAGAGATCCTTGGCTCTCTAGACCCCATACCCCCTCACCAGAGCACAGAATAAACTGGTGGCTAGACTAGCGCTGGCCACCAGACGTACGATAGCAGAACAATGGGGCAATCAGAACACACCCCAACTAACCACGATGATCAACAAAACACAAGAAACTATGGAAATGGACAAATTGTCAGCCCTACTACACAATACAACACAACACTTCCATAAGATATGGGACCCATGGGTCCTACACCACCTACCGGTACTATGAATGGAGGACCCGGGGACAAGAAGCGATCCCCCCCCACAAAAAAGATCCCTTACCAATAGCACACTGGGGCCACACACTTCTCCCCAATTCCCCGAATCCTACAAAGACCCCCTCCCCTACACCAACCTCACAAGTGAAGGCACAATCATAAGACTAGAGAAACCACCCAACAAAAAGATAAAATACCATATTTCGTAAAACGCGATCACCAACGCCAGAGATACACATAAGAAAACAACCTCAGGTAAACAAAGAAGAATCGACCTCCACCATATGTGAAATGACCCACAACAACAGATCAAAAATGGTAACCACCCATAGGTTGAGACCACCAACACTCCCCCACTGACCACACCAACTCACACAACAAACACACCAAACCAAACTCCAGATCCACACAAAACCAAAGGAGACACAAACCTGATGAACACAATACTAGAGGAACCAAACACGCACCCACTTGCAAGGATGACAAGACCCATGACCAAGAGACTTCCTCTACCCGAGACTTAGAAAAAAAACGAACAACTCAACCCAGAGTACTGACATGAGATCTCGCTATAAACCACAATGACACTAATGAAACGTAATGAAACTGCAAAGTATTGGATATAACTACTACCCTGTCCCTACCTTTATACTGTACCCTATACCTCACCTAAACTTGAAAAATAAAGAATTTATTAAAAAAAAAAAAAGGTTTCATTAGAGAAACAGGGAAAATAGTATGATTTGTTAATATACAATGACTTGGAAATTATTTTAAATTGTGGAAGTTATTCACTAAACTGAGAATAGTAGAGAAGTTACAAGAGAATTACATATTTTATAACAATATAGCTCGACTGAAAAAATAGCAGCCTAAAGATTTATTGGCCACATCTCACAAATGAGCTAAAACTAGCCTGAGACCTGAACAGAGACATTAAGAGGACAATGTATTTGAACTTTCTGTTCTCAGTCATTTTCTGTGATTTATCTTGTTGAATTAGTTTGCAACTTCTAGCACACTTGCATCTTAGTGTCTCCCTAAATTAAAAGTATAATACAGATGTGGAACTCCTTGACAACTGTGCCTAGGAAGGCATACTTTATTGACCAGGTCCACCAACGCCAGTACCACCATCTGATTTTACCGTATGTCTTGTGCAAAGCAAACTTACTTAGCATTTTTTTATCTGGACTGTCCATTTGGGTGGATTTAATCTTTTAGGCAAAAGGTTTAGGTTCTTTCTGTAATAGGACAAGTGAGCTAAAACTAGTTCAAGACTTGAGTTGGAGCTTACCAAAGGACCATCTATTCCAGTTGTTGCCCATTCTCAGTATTTTCCTGTGATCTGTCTGTTTGGTTTCTTACCAAACCAGGATTAACTAATAACTATCAATGCCCCTTACGAGAGTAGATGAACAGTGTATTAAACAACTTGCAACAAAATAAAAATGAATTCAGCCAAATAAGATATGATGATTTGATGATCACAATAGGATAGCATCAAACTTGTAGACAATGTCATCTACTACAGTATATAAACAAATTAACTCAGATTTGACAGCAGGTACACTCAAAATCCACAGAAACAAGATTATGAGATTATGTAGAGATGCTTAAAAAATATGTTGTCAAAAAAGTGACTTCTAAATTAGAAACAGAAAATGACATCAGATTTGTCAGTTAAGAGGAAAAAGAAAGGAATGCAATACATATTGCAATGAAAGGACATATTTAAATATCTTAATGTTAGTAGGATATCTTAGTAGTGAATTGAATTCCGAATGACAAAATGTGGGCAACAATAGCTGATTTGAAGAACTTTTTTAATCCCACTTGGATGTTTTTGCCTAATTTCGCCATATGGATTTCAATTCACTACAATTTGGTGTTTAGTAATTAAACCCCACTTTAAGGATGTAGTTTGCAGTTTTTAATTCATTTTTTAATGTATTACATTACAGACCCGTTCCACTTTGCCTGGAATTCAAATACAATGCTGGATTTAGGGCTTTATGGAGGTGAAAAGGTGATGGACTTAATGAGAAATGCTAATTTACATACCAGTTGTCATAGTGGCTGTCATGACTTATCTGTAACATATTTCAAAGCTTATGCTGGCTTTGATGCTACACACCACTGGAATCTCAGCCAATACACTATGGATACTATGAATGATTAAAAAGTAATAATCAATACATAAAAAGCATACAATCCCCTTGCAAACCAATGCAGTATAAAATAATTAGAAAATGTGAGCATTCCCATTGTGACTGGTTTGGATTTGATTAAAAACATGTGCTTTTAGCTGCCATTCCTATGTCAATCTATCCCTGTTTTAATGTCCAATTACATGTTTTAGCAGAGAGGCATGGACACCTAACAGAGACAATTGGGTTTGTCCAAAGATCATAGCTACAATTTATTTTGTAACTTTACCCTACCTTTGATAGGTAGCTTTTATTTTTGACAATCTTTATTTTTGGGTAAATCAGATACAGACACAAATGAAATAGGAAAACAGTGACGATGCAAATCATCCATCAGGGAAACATATAAAGTGGCATTGCATGCATATAGCTCAATATTTCAGCTGACATAT